CTTGGTAAAGAAACCTCACCAAAGATCCAGCTGGCTAACGGAGGTAAACACAGAAATGTACTGCAAACGTTTGTGAAATAGGAGCAGGTATTGTTGGATAAAGCAGTTAATGCATCAATGTAAATATATGCAGAAATGAGAATAATGAGTTTGATTGGAAGTTAAAAAACATATTTACATAGAAAAATGTGGTCTATAAATGATAAGTTAGGATTTCATCAAATTAGGCCACATAAAATAGGACGAAAAGAGATTTGGAATTGGAAAGGAAAGTGAAAAGAGGAAGAGAGAAAATAAAAAACAGAATTTCATCAACTGAGAAAACATTTTGAGTTTTGCAACAGCTTGATCATTGTCTGTGTTTCCTAAATGTATGAAGTCAAGCTCTACATGAAATCTGGATTATAGCCACAAATGGTTTTTTTCCTGTAGGTACTGATGGCTCTTCACCATGGGTGGGAGTTGTCGGGGGGATCATTGGGATCATGATACTCATCTGTTTTGCTGTTGCTGCTTGGTAAGTAACTCAAATCAATTTAATATCCATCTATTACATGATGTTATATGTTATATTCTTTATCTCTTCCAGGTTGTTGAAGTCCAAACATACAACTCAAGAACAGTCACAGGTGGGGAAATACTCAAATGTGCAGTACATATATGTGTTGTGAATACTTTCTTAAATAGACTGGAGACTGCACTGACTAAGTTCCTTATCTGTGAGTAAATGTGGCACAATGAACCACTGTCATGGTGTTTCTTCAGAGTTCTTATTTCTATTTCTCAACTCTGTTTCTCAGCAGGGGGAGCAGATCAGGAGAGAACATGAGACACAAATCAATGATACGCAGAGGCTAACAGCTGTCCAAGAATCAGCTGCAGCAACAGAAACAGGAGAAGAAATCCACTACGGAGAGATCGACTTCTCCAAGCAGAGGAATAAAAGTCCCCCTGTCTCAGAGCAGGACGGTGGACAGACGGAGGACACGCTGTACGCTGAGGTCAAAGTGTCAGAGACAGCAAACAGACTAGAGGACCTCTACGCTCAAGTGAAAAGGAAATGAATGTATAGACAAGTCTTTTTTTAGATTTTTCAGGTTTTTTTTCTGCCACAAAAACCTTTTTGCTTCAAAACTTGAAGTTCTTTGCCATATATTTAAAGTGTCATATTTGGATTCTTTTAAAGTGCGCTTTTATGTTATTTATTGCTTTAATAAAAGGCCCTGCTATGCAACAAACTGCATTTTTTAACCCAACATTTTACATTTAGTATTACTAAAAGAGTTCAATTTATTCATAGAAATAAACAAAGAAAGGGGAGTTGTAGGGCTACTTGATCTCTGGCTGGACCTTTCATATCAAACTCATCAGACTATCAGATATAAAGTTAGACGATGACGAATAAAACAGGAAGTAAAAATATCTTCATTATCTGGTTTACCATATGTTCCTTTCTCTCGAGATATGATCGGATAACTTGTGTATATTTTTGTGTAAAGATCATTTTACAAAATTAACTAACAAGTATTACATTTTTTGTTTTAGTTGACATAATACTTAAAACACTTCCCAACTGATATGGTGGAAAAACAGGAAAGTAGCATTATTTTACATCATATTCTATGTATTTATTTATGAAGCATGTATATATTTATTTATCTTTTTTTGACATAACTTTTATCAGTTTTAAAATTCACATGAGTCTTTTTTCCATGGAGGCTCTCACTAGTTTGACGTGGGTGTGGCTTAGGTTGGAAAAGATGATGTCACCTGTTTCTGTGCACCAATCAAGATTTAGCATCGTATTAATCACAATCTGATGACAGCTGGGGGGGTGTTGAAGTTTTTACAGTGTTAAAATATTCATTGATTATAGCTAAATATGTGTATTGTTGCCTATTTTATAATGATACAGAGGAAGATGCAAAGCTATCAGCTAAGTTAAAGAGGTGCAAATGTACAGTATGCTACTTAATAAAAATGAATCCATCAAATAAACACAATTTACAAAAACAAGACTAAATGTGTAAATATATTTCACATCATTAATCCAAATCTGCAAGGTAACTAAAGGTATTAAATAAATGTAGTGGAGTAAAAGTACACAATTGACCTCTGAATTGTAGTGGAGAAGAAGTATAAAGTAGCAGAAAATTGAAATACTCAAAATACAAGTACCTCAAAATTGCACTTAAGTGAAGTACTTAGTAAATGTACTTAGTTACTTTACACCACTGGATGTAGGACATGGCATGAGTTCTGTTGCAGTGTTTATGTTTCATTACAGATCATGTAATACAGAGTGTGTCCACTGGGTGTCACTGTTGCTCACATGGAGGTCCTAACGCAGTGGTGTATTGTAGGGTACTGTCCCCTTCATTTAATGTCATATAGTTACTTTTATTTAAACTATGTGATATGAATTTGTAATATTCAACTCATCTACCCAGTGGCAAACAAAGTTTCTTACATTTGATCCACAATAACACAATACTACATTAAAATAAGTCATGAATTAGTGATAAAAACAGAAGAATATCATATTTTAAATAATGTAATGCCACAAATTAATAATATTTCAATTTTAAAATATTATAATGATATATTTTGTATCCTGCATAAAGAGCTAGAATGTTTTTTTGCAGTATTCTTTTTTTTATTGTGATATATTATTTTTAGACACTGCTGCATATTTGTTTTACCATAGTCTATTTATTTATTATTACATTTTATTTTTAACTTGCCTTTTTATATAATATGTAACTCTTCTACTTTGCTGTAAATGTTCCCACTGCGGGAAGAATAAAGGATTTCTGATGTTTCACATGTACTTCCTGTTTTTTTAATGTAGGTCACTGGTACCACTAAACCAGCAGGACTTTCTGCGTGGAGCTGAAACACAGGAAGTATCCCCGGGGTTAAATTACACGTAATTAAATGTAATTAAACTAAGGACGTGCGTTGATATTTGAAGGTAGCAGCAGGAGTCCTGGTTTGAGATGTTCTCATGTTTCCCAGTGAGTGGAATCTGACCATGCTGTTGGGTTGCAGGTGATCAACAGGTTGAGACGGTTGATGTTCATTTGATACTGAAGATCCTGGGAATCATAATGCTCATCAGTACAATGGTCATCTTTGAATGGTGAGACAAATTCTCCTGTGATATGACATATGCAGCTACACACTAATTTGTATATGTGGCTGTAGATCATTATCATCACAACATAAACAAAAAAAAATGTTTTCCTTTTTTCCCAGCTGGTTTAGATCAAGACGCTCTTCTGAACCAGAGGAGGTATCCACCAGACGAGGAGAAGTATTTCATATTGGACACATTTAACTGCCTGCATGACAACCAAAAAAATCCAACTGAAAATAATTCCTAATTGAGTTCTTAGGGATCAATAAACTAGGGTTTATTTGTAATTTTTCTTGTGTTAGGATGTGCATAATTAAGAAGGGATTATCCTCCAATGATTATACTTTTTAACAGTAGTGACATCACATGCAAAGCAGCACATCTCACTACTGAGACATCAGAGCTGGGTGCAGGCATTTACGAATGTTCACTATTGATTTTGAAGCAGGTTAAATCAATGAAAATAACTAAAACACCTGGTTATGTTACCTTATATCGCAGACTTGTGATGTAAGAAGTTAGCTGGTGACAAATGGAGTGTTTAGCAGTTTATGAGCAACAAATATTAGATGAATATTCTCCAGTTATCAGACGTGTGACTCCAAATGAAGGCTAATGTTGCTCCATGTCTGATGGAAGTGTAAAAAGGTAACATGTTTGCAATAACAATTATATGAATTGTTCCATTAAAACACAGATTGCTGATAACAGAACATCAGACATAAATACCAAGAAAACATAATCATAGACAAATATAAGTATTCCCCAATAAAAATCAAGTCAAACTTTAAACCTGCATTCATTTATTTTGAGTGCAGTCCAACAAGCTCTAACACAACATTAACGTAGTATCACCTTGTAAAGATGATATAGCAAACATTATTGTGTATATGTGTGCGTTTTAGTGTGCACATTTCAACTTATTCTTTAAAGATCCCCTATGATACTCTTTTTCAACAATATATTATAGGTCTCAGATATACACAAAACATGTCTCTGAAGTGTTTGGCTGAAATACCAAACAGATCATTGCAGCATCCCATAAACCCCTCTGTTTCAGCCCTGTTCCAAAAGTGCTGATTCTGTGTCTGTAGCTTTAAATGCTAATGAGCTGCTGCTGGCCACGCCCCTCTGAGAAGTGATTGGTTTGAACAAATACAATGTTCTTGGAGGAGATTCAGGTGAGAAGGTCGGCGGGAGTTACCTTGGTTGGTTATTGGCTAGTGGTTGTACAACCCAAAAAAACATTATGACATCACAAAGTGGCCAAAATCTGATCAGCTCATTTTCAGACAGGTTTTTATATAAATGGATCAGGACAAAAAGAGAGGGAATCTATTTTCCTGAAACGTTCAGAATCTCTTAACACAGAGGGGACACATGTTTATGTATAAAAGACATGAACAAGTGGATTTTGCATAAAAGGTGACCTTTAAAGGGTCTTTTTAGTTATTTGGTTGATTGCTCCGTCTGCTGTACAGTGTATGGTGTTGTGAGGTCCTGAGACATAACTGTTATTCTGTGGCTACACAAATGACATGTTGCAACTATTTTTAATCTTTACAGATACTGAATCTCTTAAGTTACAGTAAACTCCCCTCTTATTTTTCAGGACGCAGCAGAAGCAGACTATGTCAACTGTGTGGTCGAGTTACAAACATCCTGAGTCACAAAGAGAGCAGGAAGAAGTTCAGTTCACTTTTACTGAAAGAAAATGCTGTATTGATTTGCCTTATATGTTCCACATTAAGAAGGAGTGGCTTACAGGATTGCAGTGAGTGGTGTGATGAAAATAAAAACAGGATATTAGCACCAAGACGAAATATGGGTCCTTTTTTCTACAAGACTAAATACTGTAGTACATTTGTTGGACACCTTACATTACTTCCTGAATTGCACATTTTGGTAAGACAATAATTTCAATGCTTTCTACAACATTTTTCGGTATTTTTGGTTTAGGATAAAAAATGTATTTCGTAATTATTTGACTTATCGTGCCACTTAAAATTCAGATTTCTGTAAATACTAAATGGTACTATGGTCTTTAAATATGACCCTAAACCAGTGAATAACATGTTGAAGTGTGTCCTGCTCTTTGTCTCCATTAAATACACACAAAAGTAAAAAGTTCTTCATTAATTTGTCTCACGTTAAACGTAATCATGGCACATGATTTTTATTTTGTTCTTTTACTTTGTAATTGCTTAACTTGTATTTCTGTTGGATGCATGTGAACTGTGTTAAATAAAAAACACATCAGGGGTTAAAAAAGAATTCTGTGCAGAAGCTTTGAATGTTATGCATACAAATACATTCAGATATCTAAGTTATTGTGTTGATGATGATAACATGTGATAATTAAAATGGTAAGAATCAACATTGTGGATAAAATAAAGTTAATATTTCCTGCTCTTGAAATATGTCATTATTTTTGTTCACGACATGACTCATGTCCTTTGAAACCTAAACATCTGACTGTCAAGGGGTGAACTTTGTGGCATGAACTCAAATGCACAACTCAGACTCAGGTGGTATCCAAAAATAAAGACTTTACTGGTTTAAGCACAGTAACAAAACAAGGAAACACAAAATCACTCTTTCGAGGAAAAACTATCAGCAGATATCAGGAGCATGAGAAACGGGATACGACCATGGAGCAGGCTTGAGCGTAGTCATGAATGAGAAACGAACTGGCACTGGACAGGTGGGGACTAACACAATATACACACAAGGTGAGGGGAACAGGTGGAAACAATCAGGGCGGGGTAAGCAATCACGAACACAGGAGACACATAGGGGCGGGGAGCATGGAGTTCTGAAACGAGAGGGAGAATTACTTTTCACAATAAGACAGAGGGCACAGGACAACGGGACATGACAAAACTAATATAAAGAATAAACTTTCATAATAAGTTTCCGAGACATGACACTGACTTCCTTCCTACTTTTAAGAAAAGAGAACAGTCTCTGGTACTTAATAATTAATGAAGTTGGTGATTTGGCTCCTTACTTTAATAATAACAGAATAACAGAAAAGTAAATACATACCTTTTGGATTTTTAATTGCCAATTTATTTTCCACCTATTATTCATGTGTGTTTAAATACAGAGTATAACAAAGATAGTAAAAGGTATTGATGAAATCTTTACTTTATTGTCTCTGTTAACATCCAGTCCAAATGTATTGACTCTCTGATCATTACTTACAGAGGTACAAGAGAAGAATACATTTTCACTATTTTTGGCTATGGACCAAAATGGCAAATAAAATATTTCTTACACAACCATCCACATGATTGTGCTTTGTTCTACCTCGGTTAGGGGTGGTTTGTTCCCCTTTTATCACAGGAAAAGTGCAGCGTTGACAAAAACTGCAGTAAATGTAGTCATGTTATTTATAGCAGTTTTGGCTCTAAAAAAGGGAAACATTTCTCAAATCCTCTTTCTTTATATTACAGCAGCTAGGGGTTAGTTCAGTTCCCTGTGGGCTCGTGTGGTAAGGAAACATTTTACTGAACTCTTCTATTGTATTTGTAATATTTATTTTAAAGCACAGCTCTGCAGAGGCCTTTAAATGCAAATTGCTAACTAACTTGCTTGCTAACTAACCCTGGTTGTACAGGGCAAGTTTCTGTGGTGCATGGAAGAAGGGAAGTTGCTTGAAAAGGCACTTTGTAAAAACTGAATATGTGATATATATGATTAACACAAATGAAAAGTAACAGTGTTCTTGTGTTTGCAGATCCAGAATCCTGAATATGGTGACCAACATGTTGCTGCTAGTCCTCTTTGTTTCAGGTGAGATGTTTGTTACTTTAATAGTTTACAATCTTTACTTATAAAAAGCAGAAATACCAGAATGACTCCTTTGTTCACATCCTGAGTTTGTATACAATTTGCTTACAAGACACAGTTTGTTAATATGCTCTTTTTTCTTCCTGCAGATTTTCTCCCACATCTTGTCGAAGGTGCTTGTGAGGCCCTTCGCATCACCACACCGAAGCAGATGGAAGCACTGAGTGGATCCTGTTTGCTGATCCCGTGTATCTTCAGCGCTGACCCAGCTGAGGGCTTCAACAGCGCACGAGAAATCTTTGGAGTGTGGATGAAAAAAGAGTCCGCATTTGACCAAAAACCAAAGAACGTGATTTTCCACAGTGATGGGACAATCAACAGATATCCAATGAGTATTACAGGAAACCTGAGACAGGGAAACTGCACCACTCTGTTTTCTACTTTGGAAGAAATTCACACAAACAAATACTTCTTCAGGATTGAGAACAGCCCATTTCTGGCAACAGCTGCATGTGATCCTCTTCAAATAACAGTGAAAGGTAAGAGACTTTTTGTTGGAGTAGTCATACCTTTATTGTTAAACTATACATCTAGGATAATCAATGTATCAGTTATTACAGAAATTATTCAGACAATCAAAAAGTCATAATATCTGAAACCTGCTGAAAGAATGGTTCCATATCATATTTTCAATCCAAATATATTACAGTATATAGTATAATATTGTATGTATTACTATTACAAATAATGCACGTCTACATGCACAGATATGAGTGAGTGACATCTCGATAAAGGATGCAGCTGACTGACCTTTCTTTTCACATTTTACAACAAGATGTACATTTTTTGATTACTGTTGAAAACTGTATTGGCCTGTATCCTTACATTTAAAATGTGTAAAAGCACAGATTCTCCTCGGAGCCCCACCATTGAGATCTCAGGTGATCTGAAGGAGGCGGAGTCTGTCACTGTAACCTGCTCAGCTCCAGCTCTCTGTCCACACTCCCCTCCTAAACTCACCTGGACTCTCCAACAAGACCCTCCCAACACAATGGAGGAAAACCCAGATCGGACCTTCACGACTAAGATCCAGAAGACCCTCACTCTGACAGACCAACATGATGGATTCAACATCACCTGCTCTGCCAGCTATCCTGTGAATGAAGGGAAAGATGTGAAGACAGCAGAGGAGACAAAGACTCTCCATGTTTCATGTAAGAACAACTTGTGATTGTCTGCACATGATGGTATGATTTGAATGAAGTTAATCTCACATTTTCCTCAGATGCTCCTAAGGACACCTCCGCCTCCGTCAGTCCGCCCTCAGGTTCGGTGTCAGCGGGCAGCTGGGTGGAGCTGAGCTGCTCCAGCAGAGCCCAGCCTCCCGTCAGCAGCTTCACCTGGTTCAAGGTGAGCCAAGATGGAGACACGAACGTCTCACAGGGACAGATTTACAGCTTTAATGCCACAGAGGGAGGACGTTATTACTGTGTGGCTACAAATGCTCTTGGTAAAGAAACCTCACCAAAGATCCATCTGGCTAACGGAGGTAAACACAGAAATGTACTGCAAACGTTTGTGAAATAGGAGCAGGTATTGTTGGATAGAGCAGTTAATGCATCAATGTAAATATAAGCAAAAATGGGAATAATGAGTTTGATTGGAAGTTAAAAAACATATTTACATAGAAAAATGTGGTCTATAAATGATAAGGTAGGATTTCATCAAATGTAGGCCACATAAAATAGGACGAAAAGAGATTTGTAATTGGAAAGGAAAGTGAAAAGAGGAAGAGAGAAAATTAAAAACAGAATTTCATCAACTGAGAAAACATTTTGAGTTTTGCAACAGCTTCATCATTGTCTGTGTTTCCTAAATACTGTATGAAGTCAAGCTCTACATGAAATCTGGATTATAGTCACGAATGTTTTTTTTTCCTGTAGGAGACAAACAGCTTCATGGCTCTTCACCATGGGGGGGAGTTGTTGGGGGGATCATTGGGATCATGATACTCATCTGTTTTGCTGTTGCTGTTTGGTGAGTAACCCAAATCAATTTAATATCCACATCTATTACATGAAGCTGACTGCTCTTTATCTCTTCCAGGTGGTTGAAGTCCAAACACACAACTCAAGAACAGTCACAGGTGAGGAAATACTCAAATTTGCAGTACATATATGTGTTGTGAGGTCCTGAGACATAACTGTTATTCTCTGACTACACAAATGACATCACATTATTTTTAATCTTTACAGATACTAAATCTCTTAAATTACAGTAAACTCCCCTCTTATTTTTCAGGACGCAGCAGAAGCAGACTATGTCAACCGTGTGGTCGAGTTACAAACATCCTGAGTCACAAAGAGAGCAGGAAGACGTTCAGTTCACTTTTACTGAAAGAAAATGCTGTATTGATTTGCCTTATACAGTATGTTCCACATTAAGAAGGAGTGACTTACAGGATAGCAGTGAGAGGTGTGATGAAAATAAAAATAGGATATTAGCAGAGAGACGAAATATCGGTCATGATGTGGCATCTAGCAGATACAAAAGCCTGGTGTGTGTGTCCACACTTCCTTTTGTCTCGCAAGACTAAATACTGTAGAACATTTGTTGGACACCTTACATTACTTCCTGAATTGACATTTTGGTAAGACAATCATTTCAATGCTTTCTACAACATTTTTCAGGTATTTTTGGTATAGGATAAATAATCTATTTCGTATTGATTTGCCTGAGTGTGCCACTTAAAATTCAGATTTCTGTAAATACTAAATGGTACTACGGTCTTTAAATATGACCCTAAACCTAGTGAATAACATGTTGAAGTGTTTCCTGCTCTTTGTCTCCATTAAATACACACACAAGTAAAAAGTTCTTCATTCATTTGTCTCACGTTAAACGTAATCATGGAACATGATTTTTATTTTGTTCTTATACCTTGTATTTGCTTAACTTGTATTTCTGTTGGATGCATGTGAACTGTGTTAAATAAAAAACACATCAGGGGTTAAAAAAGAATTCTGTGGAGAGGCTTTGAGTTATATGCATACAAATACAATCAGATATCTAAGTTACTGTTTTGATGATGATACATTTTGATAATTAAAATGGTAAGAATCAACATTGTGAATAAAATAAAGTTAATATTTCCTGCTCTTGAAATATGTCATTATTTTTGTTCACGGCATGACTCATGTCCTTTGAAACCTAAAAATGTCTCACTTCCTTACTTCCTACTTTTAAGAAAGAAGAGAACAATCTCTGGTACATTTGAATTAAATATGTGTGTGATTGTTTTAATAATGACAGACTAGTTCAAAGGTGATGGCATTCTGGTCAATATTTCCAGAGAAACATGTGATAAGGCATACATGGCCCGCTTTGGAGAAGACTACATTTTCACTGTTTTCGGCTATGGAAGGGTTCCAAACATCAACCACATTTTTTACAACCATCCACTTTAAAAACTAAACATTAAATTAACAAAAAAAAACATGATTGTGCTTTGTTCTACCTCTGTTAAGGGTGGTGTTCATCTTTTATCACAGGAAAACTGCAGTAAATGTAGTAATGTGATTTCTACTCGTTTTGCCTCCATAAAAGGGAAACATTTCTTCAACAGCAAATCATCTTTCTTTATATTACAGCGGCTCGTGGTTAGTTCAGTTCCCTTAAACATAAAAAGGTTTGACTCAAGCCAGAACACTTTACGTTTTCTTATTTTCTAGCTGTGGGCTCATGTGGTAAGGAAACATTTGACTGAACTCTGTCTTTTATTGTATTTTTTATATTTTCTGTTAATTATTTAAAAGCATAATACTGTAGAAGCCTTTACATTGAAAGTGTCAAAAACTAACTGGTTGTACAGGGCAAGTTTCTGTGGTGCCTTTGAAGTAGGGAAGTTGCTTTAAAAGGCACTTTGTAAAAACTGAATACGTTATATGTATGATTACTACAAATGAAAAGTAACAGTGATCTTTTGTTTGTAAATCCAGAATCCTGAATATGGTGACCAACATGTTGCTGCTAGTCCTCTTTGTTTCAGGTGAGATGTTTGTTACTTTAATAGTTTACAATCTTTACTTAGAAAAAGCAGAAATACCAGAATTACTCCTTTGTTCACATCCTGAGTTTGTATACAATTTGCTTACAAGACACAGTTTGTTAATATGCTCTTTTTTCTTCCTGCAGATTTTCTCCCACATCTTATTGAAGGTACTTGTTCTAAGTCCCTTAACATCACCACACCGAAGCGGATGGAAGCACTGAGTGGATCCTGTTTGCTGATCCTGTGTAACTTCAGCGCTGACCTAGCTGTGGGCTTCAACAGCGCACGAGAAATCTTCGTAGTGTGGATTAAAAAAGAGCCCCAATTTGGCCAAAAAACAGAAAACGTGATTTTCCACAGTAATAGGACAATCAACACATATCCAATGAGTATTACAGGAAACCTGAGACAGGGAAACTGCACCACTCTGTTTTCTAGTTTGGAAGAAAGTCACACAGACAAATACTTCTTCAGGATTGAGAACGGCCCATTTCGGGGAACAGCTTTATGTGATCCTCCTCTTCAAATAACAGTGAAAGGTAAGAGACTCTTTCAGTTTTTTCAGTCGATCTCAAATATTAAGGTTTAGAATAGAGGCTATACTTACAGGATCAGTGAGCTGAAGGATGGTGTGAGGATGCTGATATACAGCTGAGGCCGTAGATTACTGAATCTGCTTGGATGTTAAATAAATAAATCTGATCCTATTGTTTCCATTTTACTTTTAGAGTCATACATAACAATGCATTGGAGATTTGGGAAAAGGAACCCTCGTGTATTTATAACTTCCTAATGAGTAATAAATACACTTCACAAAAAATAGCTCTGTCTACTTTAAACCACTGGCAACACTTATACAAACAAAATGCAGTAATCTATTACATCAAATAAGAAAATGGTTCTATCTTTGGCATGAATAGTATGGCATGTTTATATAGGGCTCTTAAATTTGGTTATTCAGGCCTTTATCAATATTATCTGTCTGTAACCTTGCAATGCAATGCAATACAGTAATACCCTCTGAGGATGATAAACGCTATGGAGAATTATATTAAAGAGTTTGAGCAACATTTTCTGGGGCACACGGTAAAAGAAATCCATATTCACGGATTCAATGACATTGAAGATTTCATACGAAATAGCAGTGTCAGCCTACAAAAACCCATATTGGTCAACATTCTGTGAGTGACTCTATTTTATATTGATTTATTTTAAGCTTACAATCAGTTTATTTATTTTTTAAAACCACAGATTCTCCTCCGAGCCCCACCATTGAGATCCCAGGTGATCTGAAGGAGGCGGAGTCTGTCACTGTAACCTGCTCAGCTCCAGCTCCCTGTCCACACTCCCCTCCTAAACTCACCTGGACTCTCCAACAAGACCCTCCCAACACAATGGAGGAAAACCCAGATCGGACCTTCACGACTAAGATCCAGAAGACCCTCACTCTGACAGACCAACATGATGGATTCTCCATCACCTGCTCTGCCAGCTATCCTGTGAATGAAGGGAAAGATGTTAAGACAGCAGAGGAGACAAAGAGTCTCCATGTTTCATGTAAGAACAACCTGTGATTGTCAGCACATGATAGTATGATTTGAATGAAGTTAATGTCACATTTTCCTCAGATGCTCCTAAGGACACCTTCGCCTCCGTCAGTCGGCCCTCAGGTTCGGTGTCAGCGGGCGGCTGAGTGGAGCTGAGCTGCTCCAGCAGAGCCCAGCCTCCCGTCAGCAGCTTCACCTGGTTCAAGGAGAGCCAAGATGGAGACATGAAGGTCTCACAGGGAGAGATTTACAGCTTTGATGCCACAGAGGGAGGACGTTATTACTGTGTGGCCACAAACGCTCTTGGTGAAGAAACCTCACCAAAGATCCAGCCGGCTAACGGAGGTAAACATGAAACTGCACTACAATTCCATGTCGAATAAATGTAATTAAACTATCGTAAGGACGTGCGTTGATATTTGAAGGTAGCAGCAGGAGTCCTGGTTTGAGATGTTCTCATGTTTCCCAGTGAGTGGAATCTGACCATGCTGTTGGGTTGCAGGTGATCAACAGATTGGGACGGTTGATGTTCATTTGATACTGAAGATCCTGGGAATCATAATGCTCGTCAGTACAATGGTCATCTTTGAATGGTGAGACAAATTTTCCTGTCATATGACATTTGCAACTACACACTAATGTGTATATTTGGCTGTAGATCATTATCATCACAACATAAACAAAGAAAAAATGTTTTCCTTTTTTCTCCAGCTGGTTTAGATCAAGACGCTCTTCTGAACCAGAGGAGGTATCCACCAGACGAGGAGAGGTATTAATAAACTAGGGTTTATTTGTAGTTTTTCTTGTGTTAGGATGTGCTTAATTAAGAAGGGATTATCCTCCAATGATTATGCTTTTCAACAGCAGTGACATCACATGCAAAGCAGCACACTCACTACTGAGACATCAGAGCTGGGTGCAGGCATTTACGAATGTTCACTATTAATTTTGAAGCAGGTTAAAGCAATGAAAATAACTAAAACATCTGGTTATGTTACCTTATATCGCAGACTTGTGATGTAAGAAGTTAGCTGGTGACAAATGGAGTGTTTAGCAGCTTCGGAGCAACAAATATTAGATGAATATTCCAGTTATCAGACGTATGACTCCAAATGAAGGCTAATGTTGCTCCATGTCTGATGGAAGTGTAAAAAGGTAACATGTTTGCAATAACAATTATATGAATTGGTCCATTAAAACACAGATTGCTGATAACAGAACATCAGACATAAATACCAAGAAAACATAATCATAGACAAATACAAGTATTCCCCAATAAAAATCAAGTCAAACTTTAAACCTGCATTCATTTATTTTGAGTGCTGTCCAACACGCTCTAACACAACATTAACGTAGTATCACCTTGTAAAGATGATATAGCAAACATTATTGTGTATATGTGTGCGTTTTAGTGTGCACATTTCAGCTTATTCTTTAAAGATCCCCTATCATACTCTTTTTCAACAATATATTATAGGTCTCAGATATACACAAAACATGTCTCTGAAGTGTTTGGCTGAAATACCAAACAGATCATTGCAGCATCCCATAAACCCCTCTGTTTCAGCCCTTTTTCAAAAGTGCTGATTCTGTGTCTGTAGCTTTAAATGCTAATGAGCTGCTGCTGGCCACGCCCCTCTGAGAGATGATTGGTTTGAACAAACACAATGTTCTAGGAGGAGATTCAGGTGATAAGGTGGCGGGAGTTACCTTGGTTGGTTATTGGATAATGGTTGTACAACCCAAAAAAACATTATGACATCACAAAGTGGCCAAAATGTGATCAGCTCATTTTCAGACAGGTTTTTATATAAAAGGATCAGGACAAAAAGAGAGGGAATCCATTTTCCTGAAACTTTCAGAGTCTCTTAACACAGAAGGGAGACATGTTTATGTATTAAAGACAGGAAAAAGTGGATTTTGCCTAAAAGGTGACCTTTAAAGGGTCTTTTTAGTTATTTGGTTGATTGCTCCGTCTGCTGTACAGTGTATGGTGTTGTGAGGTCCTGAGACATAACTGTTATTCTGTGGCTACACAAATGACATGTTGCAACTATTTTTAATCTTTACAGATACTGAATCTCTTAAGTTACTGTCAACTCCCCTCTTATTTTTCAGGACGCAGCAGAAGCAGACTATGTCAACCGTGTGGTCGAGTTACAAACATCCTGAGTCACAAAGAGAGCAGGAAGACGTTCAGTTCACTTTTACTGAAAGAAAATGCTGTATTGATTTGCCTTATATGTTCCACATTAAGAAGGAGTGGCTTTCAGGATTGCAGTGAGTGGTGTGATGAAAATAAAAACAGGATATTAGCAGAGAGACTAAATATCGGTCATGATGTGGCATCTGGCAGATACAAAAGCCTGGTGTGTGTGTCTCCACTTCCTTTTGTCTCGCAAGACTAAATACTGTAGAACATTTGTTGGACACCTTACATTACTTCCTGAATTGTACATTTTGGTAAGAGAATCATTTCAATGCTTTCTACAACATTTTTCAGGTATTTTTGGTTTAGGATAAATTTCGTATTGATTTGCCTTAGTGTGCCACTTAAAATTCAGATTTCTGTAAATACTAAATGGTTCCATGTTCTTTCAATATGACCCTAAACCTAGTGAATAACGTGTTGAAGTGTTTGTACTGTTTGTACTGTACACAAAAGTAAAAAGTTCTTAATTAATTTGTCTCACGTTAAACGTAATCATGGCACATGATTTTTATTTTGTTCTTTTACTTTGTAATTGCTTAACTTGTATTTCTGTTGGATGCATGTGAACTGTGTTAAATTAAAAACAAATCAGGGGTTAAACAAGAATTCTGTGCAGAGGCTTTGAATGTTATAAATACAAATACATTCAGATATCTAAGTTACTGTTTTAATGATGATACATTGTAATATTTAAAATGGTAAGCACCAACATTGTGAATTAAATAAACTTCATATTTATTGCTCTTAAGATATGTCATTATTTTTGTTCACAACATGACTCATGTCCTTTGAAACCTTAACATCTGACTTCCATACTACTTTTAAGAAAAGAGAACAGTCTCTGGTACATAATAATTAATGAAGTTGGTGATTTGGCTCCTTACTTTAATAATAACAGAATAACAGAAAAGTAAATACATACCTTTTGGATTATGAATTGCCAATTTATTTTCCACCTTTTATTCATGTGTGTTTATATACAGAGTATTACAAAGATAGTAAAAGGTATTGATGAAATCTTTGCTTTATTGTCTCTGTTAACATCCCGTCCAAATGTATTGACACTGATCATTACTTACAGAGCTACAAGAGAAGACTACATTTTCACTATTTTTGGCTATGGACCAAAATTGCAATAGGCAAGGCAAGGCAAGTTTATTTATATAGCACCTTTCAACACAAGGCAATTCAAAGTGCTTTACAAAAATGGAAGACATTATGAAAATGGCATTTAAAATCAGTCATTAAAAAGAAAAGATAATAAAATAAACATTAAAAGAAAAAATACATGGATAAAAGTTAAAAGTTACAGTGCAGTTTAAGATGTGAATAGTTCAATTAAAAGCAGCGGCAAAAAGAAAAGTCTTCAGCCTGGATTTAAAAGTAGTAAGAGTTGCATCGGACCTGCAGGTTTCTGGGAGTTTGTTCCAGATATTTGGAGCATAATAACTGAATGCTGCTTCTCCATGTTTAGTTCTGACTCTGGGGACAGAAAGCTGACCAGTCCCTGAAGACCTGAGAGTTCTGGATGGTTCATAATTTAGCAGGAGGTCAGACATGTATTTTGGGCCTAAACCATTCAAAGCTTTATAAACCAGCAGCAGTATTTTTGAAATCTATTCTTTGACACACAGGAAGCCAGTGTAAGGACTTCAGAACAGGAGTGATGTGATCCACTTTCTTAGTGTTAGTGAGGACTCGAGCAGCGGCGTTCTGAATTAGCTGCAGCTTTCTAATAGATTTTTTAGTGAGACCTGTAAAGACACCATTGCAGTAGTCGAGTCTACTGAAGATAAAAGCATGGACAAGTTTTTCCAAATCCTGCTGTGACATTAGTCTTTTAATCCTAGATATGTTCTTTAGGTGATAGTAGGCTGATTTAGTAACTGTTTTAATGTGACTGTTGAAACTCAGGTCAGAGTCCATGACTACACCTAGATTTCTGGCTTTATCTGTTGTTTTGAACATTGCAGACTGAAGCTCAGCGCTAACTTTTATACGTTCTGCCTTGGCTCCAAAAACCATTACCTCCGTTTTGTCTTTGTTTAATTGGAGAAAGTTCTGACACATCCAGTCATTGATTTGTTCAATGCACTTACTCAGTGTTTGAATTGGAGCATAATCTCCTGGTGAAATTGTTACGTAAATTTGTGTGTCATCCGCATAGCTATGGTAACTTATTTTGTTGTTTTTCATTATCTGAGCCAGTGGTAGCATGTAGATGTTAAAGAGAAGAGGCCCCAAGATGGAGCCTTGAGGTACCCCACATGTCATATTTGTCAACTCAGATGTGTATTTACCTATAGAAACAAAGTTTTTTCTGTCCTTTAAGTAGGACTCAAACCAATTTAGAACTGTTGCCGAAAGTCCCACCCAGTTTTCTAGTCGGTCTAGTAATATGTTGTGGTCAACAGTGTCAAACGCAGCACTGATAAGCACAATAAAACATTTCTTACCCAACCATCCACATGATTGTGCTTTGTTCTACCTCGGTTAGGGGTGGTTTGTTCCCCTTTTATCACAGGAAAAGTGCAGCGTTGACAAAAAGTGCAGTAAATGTAGTCATGTGATTTCTAGCAGTTTTTGCTCTAAAAAAGGGAAACATTTCTTTAAAGCAAATCCTCTTTCTTTATATTACAGCGGCTAGGGGTTAGTTCAGTTCCCTGTGGGCTTGTGTGGTAAGGAAACATTTTACTGAACTCTTCTATTGTATTTTTTATATTTATTTTAAAGCACAGCTCTGCAGATGCCTTTAAATGCAAAGTGCTAACTAACTGGTTGTACAGGGCAAGTTTCTGTGGCGTCTTTGAAGTAGGGAAGTTGCTTTAAAGGCACTTTGTCAAAACTGAATACGTTATATATATGATTAACACAAATGAAAAGTAACAGTGTTCTTCTCAAATCCAGAATCCTGAATATGGTGACCAACATGTTGCTGCTAGTCCTCTTTGTTTCAGGTGAGATGTTTGTTTTTTACAATCTTTACTTATAAAAAGCAGAAATACCAGAATGACTCCTTTGTTCACATCCTGAGTTTGTATACAATTTGCTTACAAGACACAGTTTGTTAATATGCTCTTTTTGATTCCTGCAGATTTCCTCCCACATCTTGTTGAAGGTGCTTGTTCTAAGTCCCTTTACATCACCACCCCGAAGCAGATGGAAGCACTGAGTGGATCCTGTTTGCTGATCCCGTGTAACTTCAGCGCTGACCCAGATGAGGGCTTCAACAGCTCACGAGAAATCTTCGGAGTGTGGATTAAAAACAAGTCCGCATTTGGCAAAAAAAACAGAAAACGTGATTTTCCACAGTGATGGGACGATCAACACATATCCAATGAGTATTACAGGAAACCTGAGACAGGGAAACTGCACCACTCTGTTTTCTAGTTTGGAAGAAATTCACACAAACAAATACTTCTTCAGGATTGAGAACAGCCCATTTCTGGCAACAGCTGCATGTGATCCTCTTCAAATAACAGTGAAAGGTAAGAGACTTTTTGTTGGAGTAGTTTTACCTTTATTGTTAAACTATACATCTAGAATAATCAATGTATCAGTTATTACAGAAATTATTCAGACAATCAAAAAGTCATAATATCTGAAACCTGCTGTAAGAATGGTTCCATTTTCAATCCAAATATATTACAGTATATACAATTGTGTGCATTACTATTACAAATAATGCACGTCTTCATGCACAGATATGAGTCTCATGTGGTGACCGGTGAATGACAACATCTACATAAAGGATGCAGCTGACTGATCTTTCTTTTCACGTTTTACAATAAGATGTCCTTTTTTTGATTACTGTTGAAAACTGTATTGGCCTGTATCCTTACATTTAAAATGTGTAAAACCACAGATTCTCCTCCGAGCCCCACCATTGAGATCTCAGGTGATCTGAAGGAGGCGGAGTCTGTCACTGTAACCTGCTCAGCTCCAGCTCCCTGTCCACACTCCCCTCCTAAACTCACCTGGACTCTCCAACAAGACCCTCCCAACACAATGGAGGAAAACCCAGATCGGACCTTCACGACTAAAATCCAGAAGACCCTCACTCTGACAGACCAACATGATGGATTCAACATCACCTGCTCTGCCAGCTATCCTGTGAATCAAGGGAAAGATGTGAAGACAGCAGAGGAGACAATGACTCTCCATGTTTCATGTAAGAACAACCTGTGATTGTCAGCACATGATGGTATGATTTGAATGAAGTTAATGTCAAATTTTCCTCAGATGCTCCTAAGAACACCTTCGCCTCCATCAGTCGGCCCTCAGGTTCGGTGTCAGCGGGCAGCTGGGTGAAGCTGAGCTGCTCCAGCAGAGCCCAGCCTCCCGTCAGCAGCTTCACCTGGTTCAAGGAGAGCCAAGATGGAGACATGAAGGTCTCACAGGGACAGATTTACAGCTTTAATGCCACAGAGGGAGGACGTTATTACTGTGTGGCCACAAATGCTCTTGGTGAAGAAACATCACCAAAGATCCAGCTGGCTAACGGAGGTAAACACAGAAATGTACTGCATACGTTTGTGAAATAGGAGCAGGTATTGTTGGATAAAGCAGTTAATGCATCAATGTAAATATATGCAAAAATGGGAATAATGAGTTTGATTGGAAGTTAAAAAACATATTTACATAGAAAAATGTGGTCTATAAATGATAAATTAGGATTTCATAAAATTAGGCCACATAAAATAGGACGAAAAGAGATTTGTAATTGGAAAGGAAAGTGAAAAGAGGAAGAGAGAAAATAAAAAACTGAATTTCATCAACTGAGAAAACATTTTTGAGTTTTGCAACAGCTTCATCATTGTCTGTGTTTCCTAAATACTGTATGAAGTCAAGCTCTACATGAAATCTGGATTATAGCCACGAATGTTTTTTTTTCCTGTATGAACTGATGGCTCTTCACCATGGGGGGAGTTGTTGGGGGGATCATTGGGATCATGATACTCATCTGTTTTGCTGTTGCTGTTTGGTAAGTAACTCAAATCAATTTAATATCAAAGTCTATTACATGAAGCTGACTGCTCTTTGTCTCTTCCAGGTGGTTGAAGTCCAAACATACAACTCAAGAACAGTCACAGGTGGGGAAATACTCAAATGTGTGATTGTGCAGTACATATATGTGTTGTGAATACTTTCTTAAATAGACTGGAGACTGCACTGACTAAGTTCCTTATTTCTGAGTAAATTTGGCACAATGAACCACTGTCATGGTGTTTCATCAGAGTTTCTATTTCTATTTCTCAACTCTCAGCAGGGGGAGCAGATCAGGGGAGAACATGAGACACAAATCAATGCTACGCAGAGGCTAACAGCTGTCCAAGAATCAGCCGCAGCAACAGAAACAGGAGAAGAAATCCACTACGGAGAGATCGACTTCTCCAAGCAGAGGAATAAAAGTCCCCCTGTCTCAGAGCAGGACGGTGGACAGACGGAGGACACGCTGTACGCTGAGGTCAAAGTGTCAGAGACAGCAAACAGACCAGAGGACCTCTACGCTCAAGTGAAAAGGAAATTAATGTATAGACATGTCTTTTTTTAAACAAATATTCAGTTTTTTTATTGCCACAAGAACCTTTTATCTTCAAAACTTGAAGTTCTTTTCCATATATTTAAAGTGTCATATTTATGGTATTTATTGTTCTTAAAAATCCATTTTTGGCGCTTTAATAAAAGGCCCTGCTATTATTGATGTGTGCTGATTCTCTCGCGTCCAGGAAGAAGTTTAAAGATTAAGAGACAAATGAGTCTCTGAAAGGGTTCAAATTGGTTACTTTAATTTAAGCAGCGTGGTAGTGAAACAAACAAAGGGTAGTTGGGGGGACAAAAGCAGATGTTGTCCCGCAGCTGGTACCAAGGCAAGAGAGCGAGCACACGTTGATTCTCCCGCTTGCATCTCTCCTTCGCTCCTCCTCTCTGGGGGCTGTGACGTAGGGGGCCGCCCACCTCGATCTTCAATCGCGCATAACAGAGGATTTTGATATTTTGTATTCATTGCTCACTTCCACACGCCTTTTCTCCTCCTACTCCTTCATGACTTTCTATTTAATACCATATAAACAGCTGTAATAGTTAGTTTAGAAATCCTAGAAACACCTCTATGGCACAGTTCTCATTTACGGTAACTCCCTCTGACGTCATAGCTACTCACGTAATGTGAAAACGCTCTACGATCAACTGTACCTTCATTTAATATTCAGCAGTAATAATATCTCGACGTCTATAGATGTAGTGTTAAAGTCCGTAGGTTTTGGTGTGCAACACTCCATGCCATTTTCACTTTACATTCAGAAAACGTATTATTATTATTAGCCACATGCTAACTGCTAACCGGATATGAAGGATTTTCAGAATAAAAGCTTGGCATTGAGATTTCCTGAGAACTTCCGGGTTTTTTCACAATAAAACAGCTTTTAAACTGACGATATGTTTTAGACTAAATGATGCTATTAAACATTGATTTTAATTTCTAACACTATGCAACAAACTGCATTTTTTAACCCAACATTTTACATTTAGTTTGCAAGTATTACTAAAAGAGTGCCATTTATTCATAGAAATAAACAAAGAAAGAGGAGTTGTTAGGCCTTGTCAAATCAAAATCATCAGACTATCAGAAGTAAAGTTAGACGATGACGAATAAAATAGGAAGTAACATTTTTTAAATATCTTAATTATCTGGTTTAGTCAACCATCTGTTATTTACACTCGAGATATGATCTGAGAAATGATGTGTATTTTTGTGTAAAGGTCATTTCACAAAATAAACCAACAGGTATTTAATTTTTTGTTTAAAGTGGACCTATCATGCTATATTTAAATGATATATTGTAGGGCCATACCTATATAAAGTATATAAATATAGTTTTTTTTTCAAAATACCAAACAGATCCTGCATTTTAGCCATGCCTCATTTCGCTCCATTTGCTCTTTCCAGCCCTGTTTTTGCAGGGGGCTGATTCTGTGAGCTGCAGCTGACCACGCCCCCCTGCAGTTCTTCATCTGAACTTTGCATAGTACATAACTCATATCAAAAACATACAATCAGAATGGAATGGTTTAAATAACCATCATCAAAAATACAAAAAATACAACAAATACAAAAAATACTTTGGCTGGTCTTCAAACATAAAAGTTTTCCCTTGTGCATAACTTCTAGTTTTAATCATTCTATATCACTTTTTAAAATAGCAGCAACTTGCTTGGTATCAGAACATTTCTTACTCCCTCCTTTCACAGAAATCGTTCCTATACCACTTTCAGTGTTAAGACACTTGTTTTACAAAGTTTAAAGAAACATACCATTTGAGAATCGCATCAATAATAACAGTATAAAACATAAAAGTTAGAAACTATTTTAGAATAGTGCAAAGTAATACCACTTTGTAGCTGGTTCTTCATTCTAATGATTTCATAATTTGAAATTTCACATGATTTGGACATTCTTTGAACAATCTCATCATTTATCATCCATATCATTTAACATCATTTACACACCGTTATCATTTTCATCAATATCTGTATATGGGTTGGGTCTTCTTGTTCTGCTAGCAATTGAAACTGTTCCCTTATGAGAAATGTACCCTCCCCCCCTTTCATACTTTTAAAGTATGAAAGTAATATGTTCTCTAGAAAAGGCCGTGGTGATCAATCGGTACGTTAGGGTGTGGGTACATGGAATGCAACTACAACATCTAGCACTCCCCTGGGCACCCCTATGCTATCCTTGTACACTGTGGAGCCTAAACTCCCTCCTTTGACTGGTCTCCTAGCCCTACTGGTTTTGGGGTGTTTCGCCATGTTGATTAACTGCCCCACTGTCATTGGTACTGCATATAAAACATCACTGTCTGTACAAGTGCACAGGTCCCAGTCCAATCCTGTGGCAAGACTGCGTACAAGGTTTTAGTTCCATGATACCATCAAACATCTACTCTGGGATACGGCATTTCAGACAGTCATTTCTGGGAGAAGATTTTGGTCAGTTACAACAATTGGAGAATTTCATCACTTAAAAGTTCCTACTTCAGTACCTTTGGGTGGTCTGTTCTAATGCAGTGATAAAGTTCTTTAAATGGTGTGAAAACCGGTGGAATATCAATAACTCATTATACTAATTTATCTTCAATTCTAGTCTACTTAAAGAACTATGCTAACCCCTTTAACAGTGTGTGGAACCTTGGGTGTCCGAGCATGTAACAGTTACTCCCTCCTTTATCAAGGATTTTAAAAACAGAAGTTATTTCATCAATGGTTTGTAGTTCAATTTAGGAATTTTCACTTATGGCGGATATGTTTCTACTTTAAATAACATCTCTAAATTTCAGGTCATCCCTGATTAAATGGATGACCATCAGGAGGTGGTGGCGCTTGTCTTTTAAACTCATAATTTGGTGCCGTGCGCTCCCTGTGAAGCTGCAAGTAAGATTTAAAACAACTGCTGGGTGGGTTGAGTGACCCCTTCTCCCTAAACGATATAGGTTGTCAAAAATATGCATCATTGCAATGAGTGATCCAAGGCCCCGCATGTATTACTCCCAATTATATTGCTTTTTCCAAAATTAAATTTGCAATCGCTCTTTGCCCAGTGTCCTTTAAAACTCTACATCTTGGACAAACAAATTTTATTTCCACCTTAACAGTTATCCTATGGTAATAACTATGCTACAATGGCGAAAAACAATACTTTAGATTGGGATACTATATTTGGCTTGGTATTAGCTCTCCCTTTAACATTGTCCAACAAACACAGATTTGTCTGCTCTTATAGAGTGGTCACTAAAACTATCCCTTTAGCTGTAGATCAATATTGTAACACATTAGATCTCTACCAAATTCACCCATGAATAAAATCTCTTAGGGAATAATTCGTTTACATGATGGAAAGATTGAAAAATATGTTCTACTCTGTACTCCTAAGTCCCAAAACACTCACTGCTTAAAGTGTAAAGTGTGGTGAATATTTCCATCATGTCTACCCCTTTATCTCACAGTACCCTCAGTGTGTTTTAGGATTATTTCCTCATTTTACTTTAACAGTTTCCTCTTTATTACTATTTTAATTTACCAATTTATTAATTCATGGCTAATAAATCTTTTTGTCTTTTCGCATTTATCAAATCAATTCAAGTTTGTTTGTGAATAAGTGTGTTTATGTATAAACTCACTCACTCCCGTTTTCCTTTTTCTCCTCCTCATGTTGTCTCAAGGCACGACCCCCTCACATTCTGTTAGACCATGCCAACTCCTCTGGTTCTGTCTTCTCCTCAGTCCATCAGCTCTTGAATCCTTCCGCTGGTACTCTTTTCAGTGGCCCAACTGCTTTGCATTTCATCTCCTTCTTTACAGTCTCTTCGCTGTTGTATGGAGGGCGTATTCTGCTTTCATGTCCCACACTCTGCTCTTGTGCCATATCTCGTGGCTCAGCTTGGAACTTCATGTCCTGTCTGAGGGACTGATGAGAGTATGCCTCTTTATGTCAGCATGCTGTTCTGGTTCTGGATGCCTCAGGTGGAGATGGTTCTGGATGCAGTCTTGTCGTTGTTGGTTCAGTTCTGGTTCTCTGTCTGTTCGATGGAGAAGGAGGAGGAGTCTCCTATAGTGAGGTCTTTTGTCTGATAGGGGTCGTAGCAGTCTGACAGGCAGAGAGAGAGAGTCCAGGTCTCGGGACGCATTACCTATAGAAATTCTAACACACTGAGGTAAAGTAAATCCAACCTTCTCCACTCTATTTTCTAATCATACTATCTGTTTTAATTGTTAAATGCCATCTAAACACAATTAATGTCTACTAATAAATGTACTATATCTCTAAACATTGTTTTTTATCCCACTGTAACACGTCTACTCCAAATAACTCTTTCAGGAAACCATTTTCTTCTATAAATTGAAATACTTACATGTTTCAAGCACCACATATTTCACACACTATAAAAGGACGTCCCCATATATTCTCCAATATTTTAAATCTCACTATTACTTAGAGCAATAGTAACTTTTGTGACTGGATACATCTGTGCACTGTCGCCACAATCTGTTGGGGAATTTTGTTCATAGAGTTTGTACATACAGTTGTCCTCGTGGGTTAGTACCCTGTTTCTACTGTAATAACTTTTCAATAATTGTGCTCAGGTCACCAGTCGGTTGTCCATAGTCTTAACGGGGGGTGTTTCTGGTACAGACTAAAACATGGATCCAGTGTATTTGGAGATTCCCCTAAATTGTAAATCTCCATCACTTAACTATTCCGATCACTTAAACCCATCTCATCCTTTGGTACAAGAACTGCATATAGGGGGGGTGAATCATCTTGATTGTAACCTCCTCCCCTTTGGGAACGAGTATTTCTAACTCCTCCTCTTGTTGCTCAACTGATCTTTTGGCTCTGGGGATAAGTGAAAGTCTCTGAAACACAGCTGGTGTTTTGTTAGTGATGTGGGCATTTTCTACGAGTGAACTAATGGATCCATGTCTTACATGATATTGTACTCCCCATCCAACCAGAAAGGTGCCAAGTGTAATGAGCACAATCAACAATGCTATTCTGACTCTTAT